CCCCTCCTCTTCGTCTATCCCCTTCCTCCTCGTCTGTGCATGTTCTGGGCTGGCGCCGTCTTCCTGTGTGAAGCGCCAGACCCATTCACACTATGAAACGATGATGATGATGTATGTTCAGGGCTGCATTACAACATTGATTGTTCGGATCACTAGTATCTAAGTCTTCCGCTGTGCTATCTTATACTTTGTACTGAAAGGTCGGTTCTTGTTCTGGTCTGCACCTATACGGTATGCAACAGAAACTGATCAGTGGCAGCGAAAGGTGCCAACTTGGAGGCATGGAACACAGGGTAAGTACGCAAGTGTGCAGGGATGCGAATCACATATGATGGTCCATCTGGTTGATCTCCTATAATATCCAAGATCTCCCAGGGCCCAAAGTATTGCGGCATCAGTTTGTGTGAAATCCCGAACTCTTGGCCTAGTTCAGATGATTTGACCTAGACTCTATCACCTACCTGAAAGTTAGAGGGCGGTCTATGCTTATTCTCAGATGCAATCATAGCATCCTGAGATTTTCTAATATGTTTGACGGCCTGCTGCAGCATCAGCAAACTCTATGCTGCCAGGTGCTGCAGTGAGTTGTCTTTCTGGTAGCAGAAAGTCAAGTGCAGTTCCGGGCTTCCAGCCAAGGTGCAGTTGGTTGGGAGTCGTTTCTGTAGTACTGTGCACAACGTTGTTGTAAAGGCTGGCGACGAGAGGTAACTTCTCGTCCTAGTCAGCAGGTGCTGTACTACTCGGTTCATCTGTTCTACATGGCCATTGGATTCAGGGTGGTTCCCTGAGGTCATTTGTAGCTTAGTGCCCATTTGCTCAGTTGTTGAATGCCACAATTCGCTGGTAAATCTCACGTCCCTGTCACTCACTATAGACGTAGGGAGTCCAAAATCGCATACCCAGTTGTCTAGAAACAGTTTGATGACATAGTCAGTCTTAGCAGTTTCTGGCATAGCGATTAGTCTTGCATACTTAGAAAAGCGGTCCACTATAACGAAGATATGTCTCTTGCCCATCCTGCTAGTTACAAGAGTATCCATGAAGTCCATGGACACACTCTGACCAGGCCCTTCAGGAATCGGCAAGGGCTTGAGAAGCCCAAGCGGAGCTTGAGTTCTAGGTTTATCCCTTTGGCAAACCTGGCAGGTTTCAACGTACTTTTTCGCATCTTGCATCATAGTGGGCCACCAAAATCTTTGCACTAGATTAGCTGAAGTCTTCTTATAACCAAAATGACCAGTTGCATCGTGACATTCCCCTAAAAATAAACTACGCAAAGACTCACTACTGGGAACACTCAGTCTCTTATTCTTTGCCTTTTCAAGAAACAATAAACCATCTACCATCGCAAATTCGTCAGAAGTTATTTTATTCTTCTCTTTGAACTTATGGATGACCTCAGACATAATTGAATCTTGCTGGTAGGCCTCCACCAAAGATCGAGTTAGGTCATCAAATATGCCAAATTCAGTCACGAATGTGACTAGATAGTCTGCCCTTCGCGATAGTGCATCCGCTACTTTATTGTACTCTCCCTTGATAGGATCAAGTGGATAGTCATACATATTTATCACTTGTATCCATCTCTTTAGTTCATCTGAGAGTGCCGGTTGTATTTTGATCCAGCGCAGGGTCTCATGGTTAGATCTCACATAGAAAAATCTGCCAAGGAGATAGTGTCTCCAATGGACCAGCGCTTGGTAAAGGGCGTAGAGCTCACGGTCGTCAGTAGACTTGGCTAGTTTATGAGATGGCATCTTTTTGCTCATATACTCGATCGGTCTCAACTTTGGCCCCTCCTTTTGCGCAAGGACCGCGCCGATGCCATATTTGCTGGCATCTGTGGTCACGACAAAGGTTTTATCAGGATCAGGAAGTTTGGGGACTTCATAGTGGGTCAGAGCATACTTCAGTTTCCTGAAGGCCTCCTCACACTCTTCAGTCCACTCCCAAGGGGTGTCAAGTCGAGTTAGATCTGTTAATGGGGAAGCTATAGTACTATA